CACATAAGCAAATTGTTTTGAAATTTATTTTTTTTACATTAGTATCTAAAATTTGTTATGATTGATAGAGTCAAATTAGCTTCACTAAAATTTTACTTAAAATGGGTATTGTTTAATAATTTTTACAATCTGTTAGATCATCTTTTTTTGGAATGGATGCAAATACAAATCTTTTCTAGTCAATTGGCCAGGTAGCTGTCTTCCAGAATTCTTGGCATAAATGAGTGTTACAGCTTTGAATCTATTTCTTGAAACTTCTTATTTGCTATTCCTGGAGGCTTCTTTTTTGTTAGTATCTTCAGTGGAAGAAAGTATCTCATCCTGTTCAAGGTGAATCCTGTCACCCTTGCCCTGAAGTTCCTCCATCTTCTTGTGCCTTATATCCACCAATAATTTCTTCCAAAAATTAGCTTTATCCTTTTTACCTTCCCTCTGCACATTAACATTTAGTTCTTTCATCTAAAACAAAGTATTCTCTTCAGTTTTCTTTCCTGTAGTTATCCCACTGTTCCTGGATAGCAAATGATTAACTTCCTTAGTTGCTAACTTGAAGGTTGGAAGTCTTAATCTACACAGAAGCACCTCGGAAGAAACACATTGTGAACTTCCTCCAAAAAGTCAGCGATTGAAAACAGTATGAAGCACACCTCTACTCTGCCTCTATGAGTCAAAAGTGACTTAACGGCAGTTACGTTTTGTCTTCCCTCTGATATACCAAGCTCATTGAAAGAATAGTCTGCATTTCCTCTGTTGTCTCATCCTCTGTTCTCTCAGGTTTCTGCCCCCGCCACATCCCTGAAATCCATCTTCCAAAGGACACTAACTGATAACAAATAAATAGGATCACATCATTCTCTTGCTTAAACTTTTGTAATGCAGTCATTTTTTTTCTTATAACAGACCTTTCTGAGAATCTGATTAGAAACTCTAAACCTCTCATCAGAAAAATGCCCTTAACATACCTAGTTTTGCTTGTAATTTTAGATGGTTCACAGATGCCCTGGAGCCCCAGGATTTGTAACCCTCACTTTAACAACTCTAGCAAAAGACAAAAACGTTATCTCATACAAATGGGAAAGCACAGACAGGAAAAAATGAAGAGGATCTACCAGTTATCGAACCAGCTCAGAAGAAATCCACGTTCTCTCCTCACACTGCTATATGTCTGTAGTTTCTGTGTTCTCCAGCTTCATCCTTCACTGCCTCATGGCTTACATTTCCTCAGCAAAAGAAACTTGCCACTGGTCATAACATTTTGTTTATTGTTTATGTATTTCTCTTTTATTAGGCATAGCATTTTGGAGATGTTGATTCTATATTAATTTTCTTTTTCTCATTTTTATATAAAGAGTTTAAAGTGTAGTTTGGAGCCCAAGACCTGGTAAAACCAAACCCACCCACCATCATGTCAGTTCCTTACAGCGATGCTCTGTCAAGTTTCCAAGGCTGAACATCTTTATGGGAGGAGATGACCTGTCTCTGTTTGAGAGGAGGAGAACGGGGGCAGGTGGCTCAAACTACAGGCATTTTGTTGGCAGCTCAGCACGTAATTTGCTCCTCCACCTGAGTGTGTTGTATACATGCCTTTGATAAACCTTGCTTGCAGAGAGTGAAAAAGACTTAGTTTCTGAAAAAGATCTAAGGCTGCAGTCTTCAGTATAGATTACATCACAACAGGAAGCAAACAGAAATTCCGACCTCTGCACCAATAGGCAACATCATGGTCTTTTCTCTCTCTTGTTGCTGTCAAATTAGAAACATTTAATAGCTGACTCTCCAGCAGGTTTTCAGAGGCTGTAAATTGCACAGGATGGGAGTGTCCATCTTTCTCCTGTAGAACAGCTGTTGGGTTTGAAACTTCTACCTTTAGCAGAGCAACTCCCTACCCAGTAGGCCACCAGAACTCCCTAACATTGAGATAGATGGAGAAAAGATTGACGTTGTCAGTGATTTTATTTTACTTGGATCCACAATCAAGTAGTAGCAGCAATACTGAGTGAAATATCTCAGTCACAAAGGACAAGTACTGCATATGACCACTGCTATCACAGTTGGGATAGATATCCAAGGGATGGGGAGAGCAGGGAAAAAAATGGATAGATAATGAACACTACACTAGAATAGGTGAAGGGAAGGACCTTATATGTATGACAATGAACCTAGAACAGGATAAACATCGTGAATTGGAGGAGACGTAGGGAGGAAAATGTATAGGAATGAATGAAAACCAATCTGTCTAAATTTTTGTGAAAAATCACAGAAAATTAATAAAGTCATCAGAAGACGTGTTGCATTGGGCAAGTGCTAAAGAACAAGAATGTCATTTTAAAACCTCAAATGTGCTTGTACTCAAATCATAGTGTTTTCCATTTCTTTGTATGCATCTGAGAGTTGAACAGTGAATAAGGAAGCCTGGAGAAGATCGGATGCCTCTGAATTGTGTTGGTGAAAAGTACCAAATGCCCTGTGGACTGCCAAAACAGCAAGCAAATCTGTATCAGAGAAAGTGCAACCACAGAGGCAAGGATGGCTGGTGAAACTGCCCACATATGTTGGGCATATTGTCAAATGGGGTCTGTTCTGGAAAAAAGATGTTATTCTGGGGAAGAGAGAAGGTCAGTGAAAGAGAGGAAGGCCCTCAAGGAAATGGGCTGACATAACTACTTTAATAACGGATTTGAGCTTGTTGGAGATTGTGAGGACGGTGCCGGATAGGACAGGGTTCACATCTGTTGTTCATAGGGTCACTGTGAGTCATGGTTGACTTGATGACACCGGATAACAACCATTCAGACACAGGCACTGTTGCACCATTTATATGCGATCTTGCATGGATGGATGTCTGCCTTCTGAGCCACAGCCCCTGCATAGTCATTTGGGAATGAGAGTTTGGACCCTTCTCCACCTAGAAGTTGAGTTTAGTGTACATAAAATTCCTAATAATGATGTTAAGTGATTTGGCCTTGGGAACATGAACCATATTAAATTTCTTCTACTTTCGACTTGTTTATAGGGCTGCTTTTACCTACTTGATAGTATAGAATTATGTATATCTGCTTTTTCTTCTGTAGAATCTTGCTTTAGAACCTTTGAAGAAATTCTTCATGTGATTCCTCCTTGTGTTGCCATAGACATAGGGTTTTGCATACAGTGGTGCATCTTAACATGCTTCAAGTTAATTTGCACTTTTGAAAAGATAATAGTTGCTATTCTAATGCTACTTTTTTTATCATAGCATTTTCTTGATGTGAAAGCCGAAGCTCAGAGACAATAATAATTACCGAAGGTTCCAGGCTAGTCGGATTTGAACAGTGTCTTCTTGTCTCTTGGTTGAGAATAACTGACAAAGGTTAACAGAAATGTTTATGGTCTTTTTAAAATGGACTCCAATTCTAATGGAATTTTCTGCTTCCTTGAGTAAGTGCATTTTCCCTCCACTTTTGCCACCCAAGTTTATTTACTTTTCATCCTACTTGCAAGGCAAGAGCACTGGATGATTCACCCCTTTTCATGTTTCTCGGTCCCTGTCCTTTTCTCTCCTACTTACCTCCCTCTCTGCTCCTGAAAGAGGAATGAAAAAAATGACAAGTGCCGAATAGTAAAGATGTCAAGAGATGGAACTTTAGGATTTGTTTTTGTAAGGCTCTAATGATTACTTTAGTCCTTTCATCTAGCTGGAAAAGAGATGAGTCATTACTGAAATACCACGGGGGGAGCCAGCTTAGGCTGCCTCTTGCTTTATTTTCAAGATAACTCTTCTCCAAGCCTCATTATCTGGTGGTTGGGGCTTATTTGGCTTCTTTAAATTCTTTTTTAGAAGTACTACATCTAAGTTACTAACTTCTCTTATCATTCCACCTTTTCTTGACAATTGCTTTCACCCTGCACAGATGATTGTTTCTCTTAGAGAAACACCTTTCTGTCTTTATGCTGAGCAGTTTAAGGGAGATTATGGGTAGAGTCTCTGGATTTGATTTTCTTCTCCTTGGAAATTAACTTGACCTCCTTTTGACTTTAAAGCAGGCTGGTAAAGCCACAATGGTATTTGAAGTAGGATGTTTGATACACTTTCTTGGAGCTATTTCCTTTAGCACAGAAATGCTGTTGGGTTCTATTAGCATATTTACTACAAACAGAAATAGATTTATTAAAGATTATTTCTTTTGAAACTATTTTTCTAAATAGTTTAACCCTTTCAAAACGAAAATATTTTCTGCTTTGATATTTTTGTTGAAACCATGGGGGGTTAGCAATGGAGGGCATTTTGAAAGACATAAAAATTTCTTTTAAATAATAGGGATTTTGGTCCACTTAGTGGGATGCGTGTCCTGTGGCATCTCAGGTGCTGGGACTGTTGAGGTGAGGGCCATTTCTTCAGATTCATTCAGGTCTCCACCAGATGTCAGCATGCATTGAAAGTGGGATATCAGCTTCCCACTAAATCTCGGAAGTAGACAATGTAGGCAGTCCCTGTATTGCCCACAGATCGTGAAAGTTTTGAGATTTCCCTAAGAGCAAGCGCTTGCACATTTAATTAAAGATTGGCTACTAAATTTTGACAACTGGAAGTAGATAAATTGTCTAAAACTCTTGCATACGCAGTAAAGCATGTGGGTTATTAAGTACAAAGGCCTTCTGTGTGTACATGGAGCACTAAGAACTTTCAGCTCTGGAATAGGAATGAGCAAACAGTATCTGGAGGGTAAATGGATTTCTTAGCTTAAATGTTATGTTTCCATTACCTGTGCTCACGGGTTCATCTTTTGGAGAGGGATTTGTGATGTGACTTCTAATTCTGATTTCTATGCAGCTGCAGAGTAGAGCCTGGGTGCTCCCAGGCAAGCAGCTGTCAGAGTCTCTGGGGCTGGGCAAGGGCGACGGGCCGCTGGTAAAGAGACTGAGCATGACTGTTTATCTGCAATGCTAGGAAAAGAGTTCAGATTTTTGTATTGCCTGTTTCAAGAGTGGACAAAAATCTGTTTTTCCTTCCCCTCCATTAGTCATGAAGAAGGACCAGCCTCTAAAAAATGCAAGACCGAGGAAGAGGAAGCCCACTTTAGTATCTCCAGCCTGGTTGAGGGCCGTGTCACCAGTGTAAGCATAGCTTGTCTTGTTACATCCCTTGTTAAGAGGTTTGGGGGCTTCTTGGAAAGCGTCTTAGTTTCTGTTAATTCTTTCAACATAACACTTTCTCTGTCCTTGCTGTAAATGCCAAAAGCCCATCCTACCTTACTTTCATGCTTCCTTTACAGTGTTATATATGCTGCATAGCGCTCAGTGTAATATATAGAGCATTTTCGTCGTTTTTATTTCTTTATTGTTTTCACTTTACAGCTTTCCATTTTATTAAAAGGATAGACTAACTGGAAGCTAATAACCCAAGTCTTACTTTCCAATGTTGTAAATTTAAAATAGTATTGTTGTTGTGTGCCGTCAAGTCAGAACTGACCTGTAGGTGACCCGCCAGTGCACTTTCAGAGGCAGTAGATCACTCGGGAGGAGATTGCCCATCCTCTTCCGCAGAGCAGCTGGGAGGCGTGAACCTGATCTGCCTTGAGGACTGCAGCGCAGCTTCTTACCACTAGGCCACCAGGGCTCCTCCAAAAATGCTGTCACTCTCCCAATTTCCTTTTGAGTATATGACTTCAGGGCGGGATTCATAAATTTGGAATTTGCCCAATCTACTATCCTTTGACACTTTGAAATTTTCTTTATTTAATGAGAAAGTGTGAGGTCTTACCTTATTTTAAGTGGTATAATTTTTAATCAGTAGATCTTATTAGCACAGTATAGGATAGGGCCCAGATCTGTTGTTCACTGGGTCACTACTGGGTGTACTCATCAGCACATAACAACAACAGCATTGGCACAATAAACCAGGAAAGGTAGGCAGCGCAAAAGCATACCTTTATTCCCATCTCTGTCAGGAATGCTCTTAGGAGAATTGAATGTCTTAAAAAATGATTTTGTGTCAGTGTTTACTGTTACAGTAAAGGGGCGGGGGGACTCACCTTATTTGTTCTGAGAGCTTTTCTGCTTGTTATACTAGAGACAGTTGGAACTCTTAGTCTTAGTACATTTTGTCCTAATGCTACCAGTCCATAGAAGAAGCTCCTTTCTAATACATCTGACCTCTTTCCTGTGAGCTGAGTGGTGCTCAGATCCTGTTAAGGGAGAAACTGGAAGATTAAAGACATAGATGTGATCAGAAAGTACTAAGCTATGTGGCAGATTTTTACATCTTTAAATTTTTACCTCCTCTCAAGTTCCTTGCCTTTGAGTTGGGACAGCCTCATGGCTGACCTTCTAATGACTGTGTTTTCCGAAGCTGTAAAGTGCACAGAACGTTGTCCATCTTCCTCCCAAAGAGCCACTGATGGATTCGAACTGCCTGAGAGGTGCCTTCTCTTGATTAGTGACACAGCTCCCTGCAGTCTGTGCCACCACAGCTCCCCACTAACACTGTAATCAATTTGTCCTTCCACATGATGCCCTTTTACTTTTGGGTGGAGGACATGTTTAAGCCTCAATTTTCGTTTATGGTACAGATTCCAAAGGGCTAGCAGTGAGCACCCGAAGAGGGCAGCTCAGTAAATCAAGCATCAGTCTATTTCTGCTGTCCCCTAAAAGAAGCAGTGAGTTCTGAACAACCTCACGCTGCACAGTGCTCCCCTTCCTGATGGGTTGGGTGTCAGGATACCCAGACAAGTCTTTGCTACAGAAAGGCTTCATGCTGGCCTGCCTGGTGATTTGGTTTGTAAAACTTCAAACCACTGTAGCAAGATTTCAGCTTACTTAAGAAGTCAGTGAAGGTACAGATGGGAAGTATTTGGCCATTAGAGTCTGTTAGCTTTGTTTTTTTCAGTATTTTGTTGTTATTGTTGAGAATATGCAAGCAAAAAGCATACCAATTCAACAGTTTGCACACATATCCTTTAATGACATTGATTACTTTCTTTGACCTGTGTATCTCTTCTCACTCTCCTTTTCTGAATTTTCCTTCTCATATTAACATAATTACACTGCCAAGTAAGGTCTATCACGGTGCTATTTATTGTCAATTTGATCACACTAAATTGTCTTAAAAGAGCACAATACTCAAGGCAGACACATTTTTCACTAGTTAAACGAAAATACTATTTGGTTTTAAAAACACTTTGGGGGGGATATTTTATTTAAAGTGTAAAGTTTGATTCAGAGCAGTAGTTTCAGGGTTTCCACAGATTTTGGGGCTCTAAGAAGTCTGGAGTTCATAAGAAGCTGAAATTCTCTTCTCCATTTCCCCACCACCTAGTTTTTTACCAGAACCTTAGAAATGAAAATGGATATAAAGAGCATTTGTTCCTTTGTCTTTGGTTTTACTTTAAAAGAACATACTTCATTAGGCCTCTTGTTTTGCCTGGTGTCCTACCCAGAGGAGAAGTGACGGTGGATGTGTTTCTCTCTGCATGTATTCTAGGTTGGGAGTGTGAATCCTGCTGAAAACTTCCGTGTGCTGGTCAGGCAGAAGAATGCCAGCTTTGCAGAAGGTGAGTTATGAGTCATTTGAATTACGTCTGAGAAGACACTTGATTTGTTTCATTGAGTTAATATCTAGATAAATAATAGTAGACATTTGCTGGAACGCTTTGTGCAGCATTTTCTGGTAGACTCTTGTGACTGTCCCTTCATAGTGAACTTCCTGATGCAAGTTGTGAGGACATGAAGGTAAATTCAGCACAGGTCTGCACAGAAGGGATAGAACTTACCTGTGGGTTTCCCTGTTATAAGAGCGGTAGGGCAGAACTTTTTTGCTCATTCTTAGTTCTGCGTCTTTAAATTTCTGTGGACGTTGGCGAGTAGGCGTGTAGTAAATCTTTTTACCGTATCCTCTTAATTTCCCCTATGTATGTGTCTTACTTCAGTCCTGAAGATTTGGGTCTCATTGGCACTCTAGTGGCCTAGAGGTGAGGAGCTGTGCTGCCAATCCAAACATACGTGGTTCACATCCACCAGCTGCTCTAAGTAGTCTCCTCCCTTTTGATTTAATACCTCTAAAAACCCACTGGAGGGTCACCTATAAATCAGTTGCAACTCATGGAAGCCGACTACAACAATAGCATTCCCAGGAAGACCTTGCTGCCACCCAAAGATAACCTTCTGAAGACTGTATTCTCACATGTCTCTCATCAGATAGAACCTAGACTTCCATTTAGTCTTAGGATACTATCAAAACCACCTTCAGGGATAGACAGAGAGCCTGACCCTGTATTTATTCACTTACATTCAGTGTCCTCTTCATTAACACGTTAATGAGTAGTGCCTGACAGTCCTGCAAGTTTGTATGTACAGTTGTTTTACGTTCACTTTTGCTGCCCTGAGTCAGGCCTGTATGCAACGTTTCAGTTTACTCATGGGTCATGCCTAGTGTATTTCTAGGATGCTTTACTACCTAGAGCCCAAGAATCCTAGCAGGATGCCTGGACCTGCTATGCTGTTGCCCAAAGGCATTCATACCAGTGGTTAAGTGCTCTAACTCTACTGCTAACCGGTAAGTCAGCAGTTGGAACCCTCCACGGTAGAAAGATGGGTAGTCTGCTTCCCGAAAGATTTACAGCCTTGGAAATATAGGGGGCAGTTCTCCTCTGCCCTGTAGGTTTTGCTCCAAGTTGATGTCAGCTTGAGGACAATAGACTGGGGTGAAAGTGATTTGATTATATTCTTGTCTTATTTACCCCACAGAGTAACATTCTTGAAAATCATGTGAGGATTTGGAAAAAAAGTTAGAGATGTAATTGATAATCCCAGATTTTTTTCTTGAAGGAAAGCTTTTTTTATTGGGAAAATAGAAAGTTTGATAAATGCCGGGAGAGAGTAGGGTCTTTTCACCCAGCCTTGATTTCTGGCCAGTGTGGAGATGTCAGAGGAGGAACGGAGATACTAGACATGATGTTGTTGTTATTGTGTGCTGTCAAGTGGGAAACAACCCATGGCTGACTGTCCAGTGGGTCTGCGGAGGCAGTACATTGCACAAGATGAGATCACCCATCTTTCTTCCACCAGCTGGTGGATTCAAACCAAGGACACTGTGAAAGTGCGTTTGGGTGTGTGACACCGCTTTTTACCCCAAGGCCACCAGAGAAGTAGAGAAGGTAGAGCTAGTTCAGGAGAGGCGGGAGGGAGAGAAAGTAAGTTTACATATGGGCAGAGTCTTTTATGTTCCCAAAACATGACTTGTAAATATTCTATTTTGGGTCTAGATTGACTTTGAAAAGAACAGAGACAATGTCTATAAACAAAAGAGACCAGGCTCTTAAAAGGCTATGAGAAAGTTGCTCAGAATTTGCTCAAATCTTAGGAAAACAGTAATTGGAAATTCGAAACAGTCTTATAAAAAGAACAGGGACTAGTTGGCATGTACATTAAAAAAGGTTTTATTATCCCTATTTCACAGATGGAAAAGCTAAAATGGAGGGGATTAATTTGTTCCAAAATAATATAGAGATAAAAAAAAAATAATGAGGGATTCAAATCCAGGTTTCTTTCAAATACTAGGTTTCCCCCCTTACCCATGCTTTTCTGTATCCTGATTCCTAATGCTTTTTCCCTCCTGCATTTTTAAAAGCATTATGAAGTCATGTATTTTAAAAACCTATACCTATAGATAGGACATTCGATGAGTCTCCTCCATTTGAATGTGACTTTGGAGCTTGTTGCCATTGTTGTGTCGGTTGGCATAGCTAAGTACCCCCATCGAGGACTCCCTCAAATCATTGCTCTACTGTGGCCTCAGCCAAACCTTTCTCGGAACTCTGGGGGAATGAGACTGTGCTCTTCTTAGCCACTAGTTTGTGGCCCTTCCTTTGCTTTCTATAGACCCCCTCTCTTCCTTCAAGCTGCAGAAATGTTATCTCCTCACTGCTTGTCCTGTCTTTGCCTGTTCTCCTAATGGAACATTATTTGCCGAGAGCTTTGTGTCCGAACACTGCTTTGCAAGCCCAAATGTTCCCCGTCTCTGTGACGGCGGCCTTACCGTTTCCCTCCTAGAGATCTCTCTGCTGTATCTATTTTGGTTCACTTGCCAAAAGCCTGCTCAACAGTCGATGATCAGGTTGCTTTACCTTTAGGTGGATTGTCAGCTAAAACATAGCTCCAATTACTGTCTCTGGCCTGTTAGCACAGACTTGCTGAGAGTTCTATGGCCAGCCCTGTACCTCGACATCAGTCCTCTGTGTTTGGCAGCTACGGATTTTCTTAACTTGCTTTTCATTGTGAGAGATTTCTTGTTCTAAGTTTATTGACAGAAAGGAAGTAACCAGCGCTCCAAAGCCCAGAATGCAGCATGTTCTTCTGGCCAATGTGCCTGTGAGATGGCTTTGATTCTCAGAGGCCCTTTTCCCCCCTCCAGCGGCTGTCCTCTACCCATCACACACACCTGTTGTTGTTGTTATGTGCCGTCAAGTCGTTTGCGACTCATAGC